CATATTATAGAAAAATCCTTATTAAAAAAATTAACTTTAATTCAATGTATTACCTAATTCAAATCATTTACATAATAATAGTATTGAAAATAAAATTACCTTATGTCAAACCAAGTTAAGAGTGCATATTAATGCACTTATTTCCACATATTATCGTCTATAAAGATCACAAAGGTTCACTTTTTTATATTTTCAATAGCAACTTTTAATTAGATAATTGATAAAATTAAAATTAATTTTTAACACAAATTAATTATAAAAAATATAATTAATATATTCTTAATTTCTATTCTTAAAATATACATTAAAAATTATAATAAATTTTTTATTTTTATATAAATTAATAAAAATATATAATATATCATTAACTTATACCATAAATACATAGAGTTACAAAAATCTAAATTTATTTTAAATAAAAATTGAGTAAAAGGAAACGTTGGACCGAAGTATTTGTTTTAAGACTTTCCCAAGTGACATCAAGTGTTTTTGGAATTTTTTTGAACTTACACCAAGTGGTTGAGAGTTGAATTGGCAAGCAAACACCTTTACCGCGAAGCATGGGTAGTTTCCTAAGCATCCAAAATGGAGGAATAGGTAGTTTCCCTACGTGTTGCAGGCTTACAGGCCCAACGCCAAACACAACTGCTTCGATTGAAGGCGACATAACACTGGTAAAAAATTCCGACACCATCATCATCAAGAGGGAAACGAGTGCCTTGTCTTGAGGCCAATGCCCAGTTTGGACCTTTTAGATATCTGGGCTGAATCTAATACCGTGGTTTGGACTTTGGATTGGCAACGGCAGTTGGGGGCTTTTTTTTTTTTTTTGCCGGTTTCACTGAACCTTCTGAGCCTAATAGGCCCACCAAATTCCCCTCCATTCATGGAAAGCAAAATCTGTACATATTCTAATTTTAAAATGACTATTATTTTTTAAAATTAAAAATTTTAAAATAATCTATGTATTTATCTATATTATCCTTAAAAAAGCTTAAAGATAAAGTAATACTTTTTTTGATATGATTAATTAAAATAAATA